TTTTGGAAATAGCCCAATGTAAACATATTAAAAGTTGTGAGGGAGAGAGAGCAAAATCCAAGGATATTCAATAGGCAAACGTACCAGAGCAAGAGGAGAGATATAAAAAACGCTCTGTACCAAGTTCAGAGTTCGAAGCTGGAAAGTATCTTGAGTAATATGGCAGAGGAAACCCGACCTGTGATCATCGAGGCCCTGCTGACAGCACGACCGAGTTGCGTTAATAAACTCAAACAATTTTATAGAGGTAAATAAAACTGTGAATAATATGCAAGCCGCATTATCTTTTCCTTCATACTTTCGATCTCCACTTGTGTCATCAGAATAGGCGCTCATTAATATTGGAGTGAAGCTATTGACAGCATCTCATTATAACTCTTAACCAGGATGGGAATGTTGGGGAAAAACGTTACTACGAGACAAACTTTAATTCGCTATTAAACCACAGGAGTCTTCAAAATAAAAATTAGGCTATATGGAAAAATTGGTTATCTTTAAACTGATAACTGCCCTATAACTTATTGTCATCTGAGACGTAGGATAAAACGATAATATAATAATGGTAATTATATAATGGTAATGTAATAGCAAACCAATACTTCTCTAACCCCATTTAAAGGGTCTTATTTTTGTTAAATATGTTGATAAGTTATAAATTGTCGAAACTGCAACCTAGTCCGAATGGCAATGTATTTTCGTGGTACACTTATCAGTGAAACGCTAATATTACGTTTTTCCTATTAATATTGGATAGTTAAATAGGTAATTACTATTTGGATTTGTGATGGCTATAGCAATCAGAAGTTACTATGCAGATTTGAAGCTTCGTCAAGCAAGTTCGGTTATTTATATCTAACCTTGGTGCTTAATAAGACTCTCGGGCCAAGACCTTTATGTGTCTTCTTCTGCATTTTAGATGTTTAAATGGTATAAATGAGGAAATAGCTATTTATTAAATCTGATCTAATAAATAAAACATATTTGCTAAGAATATGACTAGGTTTTTGATTTGTGCACATCACAAATGGGTTAAGAAGTACAACATTAATACCGATAAATCGCTTCCGCCCGGTTACAACGCTTCTGAAGCTTTTCTGGGCTGTCGTCGGCCTCTGGCAGACAGAGAAAGCTGTTGGCCTCAAGCAGAAGCTGTAGTTGACAAAGCAGTTCGCTCGGTGATTCTACGACCGTTATCGGTAGGTTCTCGGGCCGGCAGCAGTCGGAAACCCAGGAACGGAAACAGGTCATGAGGCTAGTAGAGTATTGCAAGAATAGGGGGAGATCGAAATGAGTTCATTTTTATGTGCTAACGAGAATGAGATAGACAAATTTATTCTGTATCAAAGGGATTGAAGCAAGTTAGCTAGCATGAGATAGCCAAAAATAAGTCTTTCCAGGGCCCAACCTTAAGATTTTATGAAGTCTCTTCAAGCATTTTGGAGCATATTCGCCTCGTTAAAATGAATTACAAAATACTTGAGATTGTATAACAATCCGGTAGTGCTAAAAACTAAAACTAGAAAAACTTTATAAGAATAGTAAGTATAAACTACTGGCTAAGCTGAGAACAAAAGGTGTTCTACGATTATTATTTTAATTTCTAAGACTTGCTAAGGCAAATTTTAGTTGATTGCCCGAGCAGATCTTTAAGGTCTTGCTCTATACAATGATTGTTATTAACTCCCTCCAAGGCAAAGATTATACCAGGATATTGCCTGGAAAAGGCGATTCTTAGAGTTTGATATGGGCCGAAATCACAGGATAGTAAAGGACTTTCGACTATAATAATAGGAAACGGTCCATTCGGTTTAGAAATTTATAAGACCATTGGACTTAAGAGAACAAGGCAATTTAGAAGCGTTCAAAAATGTTATATTATCTTTGTGATACCAAGCGTGATAATTAGGCTGGCTGAGATTAAATAAGACAAAAAATCTATGATCCAGCGAAAATTCATTTATTTCTGATTATAAAGAGGGTCTCCTCCATAGTGGTATATGATTTCCACTTCTCATGAATTGCATCAATACCTTAAATGAGCCCTGAATCAGGTCGACTGTATTTAAAGGCACCTTGTTGTCACTCAGAAACACAGCGCAAAATCTACAGGACCACATGACATGTAATATTCAGATTAAGATTTAAGCGAAGCATGTCTTTTCATCATCATGATTTGATTGGTGAAATGTTGTCGACAAGAAGGAAGACGTAACATAGGTTTACTTCAGTATAATAGAAAGCTTAATGCTAGCCTTCACTGCTTTCATCGTAAAACACTTAACATCTAGGCGTTAAAACACCAAAGTAAGCTCTTGCTACTATCATTAAAATTTGTAGTAAAAACGGAAACCTAAGACACTACCATATTCTTGTGGCATTCTTAACATGATAAGGGGGATATTTTTATTTTTCGAGCCATACGCTCATGAATAGACATGAACCAAAGTGTTTTGTTTCGACAAGAAAAAAGGAACTTTATTGGAATAAAGAATCGCATTTCCCGACTACCAGCAGGTGTTATTAAGGGTACATACGCCTTATTTTCCAAATGTTCTCTCAATTCAGGAAGTCGAGCTGATGACTTGTTGCTTGAGCGAAGTGAAGCAGCACCTCTGTCACTGGCCTGCCTTGAAGTAACCATCGACTTGCCATGGGACTTAGCCTGCAGCGAACGTGTCGAACTACTCTCCACTCTCGTAGGGGTAGGCTGGAGAACAAGTGTAGGCTGAGCTTCCTAGTAATAGGAGAATTAAAAGAATAGGTCATTTTTGGTCAAGTTAAAATGAGAAGATAAGGAAGTGATGGATGAAATATTTCAAAATAAGACTGCTGCCTCTAGAACCAAGTTATAGAAATAAAGGAAGAGACAAAAACAGTGGCCAAGATGAAAGAAGAGAATAAATTATAAACTAATTCAGGCGACTATATTGATAAAGAAAGATGGAACATTGCTCTCGGAATTCGTGTTATGAGAAATACAAAGTAGATGAGCTCGAGTGATGAACGAAATACAATAAATACAATTTCTTTACTTTTCTCTGACACATTCTCCTCGTTCTATCAAGAAGAAACCAAATAAATAATCGAGTCTTCCTAAAATAAGTAATCAGACAAACCCAAGTTTTAATTTTAGTTTTTTATTCGTATTATTTTTAGCATAATTTGTCAACTACTTCATGACGCTGACTAAACTGTTAGAAATACAAAATCGGGCACCTAACTGTTTTTGAAAGGGATATATGGACGCGATATTTTATGCTACCTGCTGTTTTCAATCAATTTCTCCACACATACTTATAAATGGTCATTATTTAAAAAGTTCGAAATGTTAGCTCCTAACAGAACTCGTGCATAGTCTTATTACTATCTGAAGGCCAATTCTAGACATTATCATTTTGAGGAAGAGCCAAGTGTGTACAATTGGCATAATTAGTTAACAGTTAATTGAAACCTGAAGCCTAGCAAGACAAGTCCTATACATAAGGTAATTAAGAGTCCTGGGGTAAAAGCACTATTAAGCTGGTCGGACGACCAATTTTAGCCCAAGCCAGGTCACTATAGGCGAATATCTGAGCGTTAAGTTTAACTGTATGCAGAGGGAATACAATATTCAGGCCCTATTTTAATAAGGCTGTCCTTATATTTTTTAACCAATTCCGGTATAAAGACACTATGCTATAAATAATTACTCTTAGCTCGAAATTTTAGGTAAATGAAACCAAGATACCAATAAATAGACTTCCTTATTAGTTCATTTGCAGTTTAACTACAGAAGATAAGCAAAAATTGACAGTTCATGAATACAGGCTGGCAGATTGCAAATTCGTTACGTTTAGGAACACCCCATGTTTATACGAATTCTAATCTGAATCCTAATTGCAGTCAGGTCAGTCTTGCGACTAGTTTTTCAGAAATGAATGTTCCTAGTCTTTGCAGCATAGCCAAATTTTGTAGAGGCTTTGGCATTACCCCTGATACTGCATGCTTCGACATTCAACATACGTTTGCCTGCGGAATGGAACCTGCGGCATTAA